TAGGACAAGTCCGAAGGGTACCGGCAAGCCGGAATATGCAAGTATGGGTTTGATTGTATTCTTTTGTGTGGTATTATCATGATGAAAATCCAAGCATGGTCTCTTGCTGAGTATTTCTTATACTCATAGTATGTTATGCTAAATTTTCAGATCCATGATCATTTGAATTGATGGAAGTTAGTTGGCTTACGCGATGATGGATTAAGGACAACGAAGTTTTGTACCGAAAGTTTTATTTTGTGTGTTTTGTTCGATGACAGTTTTTCCATCTATTTTTCTTATGGTATTATGTAAAAATATGAACATGACATGATGTATTATGGTATTAATAGTAAATTTTGTAATTATATCTTTCATGTTATGTTAAGAGACATTTTTGTAGTTTATTTTCCTTGCAAGAGACAAAAGGCAGAAACGGGACAGTTTCTGGAGTCAATTTCAAAATGATGTTTCTAACTCCATAAACGTCCATTTGAGATTCTAAAAATATTTCTGTTTTCCTCTTTAAGTCCTCTAAATATGGACGAAGTAATCACTCAATTTGGACATCTATGGCCTGAGTTATCTAGGTTTTAACGTCCAAAGGTCAATCTGGATCTCCTGTGTAATACTTCACTGTTTTCAGTAAAACGTCTATATCATATGATCTTGGAAAATTTTCATATTTTAACCTAGAAATCTACTTGAAATTATCTTTCTAATGCCACAAATTTCATGTAAAATGGAGTTGGGATGAATGTTATAAAAGTTGTCAAACTTGCTGCCCCAACTAACCTTGATAGTGCCGAGGCCGTATATGTAAAGTATAATTTATTGTTGACATGCACTTTTGTCAGCTATCAAATTTTATAAGAATTATTTTACCAAGTTGAAAATAAGTTCTTAACATGAAATACTTCTATTTAAGAGTATTTACATGTAACAAAGGCAGAAGCTATTATGTTTAGTACGTGACCCTCGAAGTTTTAAGTTCGGGGTGTCACACCATGCAATCTTACAATCTCTCTAATGTACAACTGCACCAGCTGATCTAGACTGAATGTCATTTTTACTGGAAGAAAATGAGCAGACTTTGTTAGACGATCCACTATTACCCATATAGCATTCTGTCCCCTTGCTAACCTTGGAAATCCTACAACAAAGTCCATTGCGATATTCTCCGACTTCCATTTAGGTATGTCTAATGGATTTAATAACCCTGTCGGTCTTTGATGTTTCACTTTAACTTGTTGGCATACTATGCATTTTGCCACAAATGAACCTATACTTCTTTTCATATTCCTCTACCAAAATGTATTTCGAAGGTCTCGATACGTTTTTGTACCACTGGGATGTGCGGCGTACGAGGTGGAGTGAACCTCCTCCAATATTTCCTTCCTCAAAACTTCATCATTTGGTACACAAATTCTACCTTTAAATGTTAGTGCCTGATCCAAAGCTATTCCAAAATCCTTTACCTTATCAGTACCAATCTCGTTCTTGATCTTCTGTAATAATGGGTCTTTATCATGTGCTTCTATGATCCGATCTCTAAGAGTAGGTCAAACCACCAAAGTTGCTAAATGAGCAGTGACTTGTTCTGGTGTGGTAATCACTTCAATTTGCAACTTTTCCAAGTCTTTGATCAACTCCATCGAAATAGTACGTAAGGATGCCAACTGTCCCATCGACTTTCTGCTTAGAGCATCAGCAACAACATTAGCCTTACCCGGATAATAATGAATAGTGCAATCATAATCTCTCACTAGCTCCAACCATCGTCTCTATCTCATATTCAATTCCTTCTGTGTGAAGAAATATTTGAGACTCTTATGATCCGTATAAATATCGCACTTCCCTCCATATAAGTAATGGCGCCATATCTTTAATGCATGAACCACTGCCGCAAGTTCTAGATCATGCGTCGGGTAGTTCTGCTCACGTTGCTTCAATTGCATTGAAGCATAGGCAATTACTTTTCCATGCTGCATCAGTACACATCCCAAACCTTGCTTGGATGCATCACTATATATAACTTTTCCTTGGTAGTATCTCTAACGCTATTCTAAGATGTTCCTCATGTTGATCTTTACTATTGGAGTATATCAAAATGTCATCAATGAAGACTATAACAAATTGATCCAAATACTAATGAAATACTTGATTAATGAGATCCATGAACACTGCTGGAGCATTTGTCAATCCGATAATGTCCATTACGAGTTCTAAAAGCTATCTTAGGTATATCATCTACCTTAACATTCAATTGATGATCTCCAGATCGTAAATCAAACATAGAAAATACCTTAGCCCATTTTAATTGATCAAACAAATCCTCAATTCTAGGGAGAGGATACCTATTTTTGATGGTCGAATGGTTCAACTCCCGATAGTCGATACACATCCTCATACTTCCATCTTTCTTCTTTGCAAGCAATACTGGTGCGCCCCATGGTGATACACTTGGTCGAATAAAACCAAGGTCTAACAATTCTTTTAACTAGATTTTCAACTCCTGAAGTTCCCTTGGGGCCATTCTGTATGGGGCTTTAGATACTAGTGTCGCTCTGGGAACCATATCTATTGTGAATTCCACTTGTCTATTTGGTGGAATATCGGGTAGATCTCCTGGAAACACATCTATAAATACTTGTACCACTGGTACATCCTCAATCTTTGTCGTTGCCAGTTTTTCTCCAAAGATATTAACTAGAAACCCTTGAGATGTTTCTTTTCTCAACATTTTCTCGCCTTGTAAGGCTGAAGCCAGTTGGAGATGGAGTTTGGTCTTTATTCTGAGGAAAGAAAATTGTTCTTCTCCTGGTTTTTGAAAAGACACTTTCCTTTCTCTACAACAAATGGTTGCATAATTACATCCTAACCAATCCATGCCCAAAATCACATCAAAGTCCTTCATATCTATCATATACAAATTAGCTT